AAGCGACCTGCCCTTGAAGTGCAATCCCAAAAGGAAACAAATCCCCAGGAAGAAAGGGAACGGACGGCCCTTCCGGCCTGCTTTCCTGCCAGTACAGGTGAGGTGCCTCACCTTTGAGCAGGTGTGAAGGTCAGGCAGCAGGTATAATCCAGGAGGATGAAAGGATACACAGAGGAAAAGAGGCCCGCTCCTCACCTGCCACCGGGCCCAGACTTAAAATAGGAGCCAAACAATATCCTAAATTCAGGTAACGTCCTTGGAATGGGACCCCTCCCCAAGGTGTGCAGCTGGAGGGCTCTTGGCTTGACACGTCTGCTCACTGTTTGCAACACAAGCAGGCCCACAGGTGGGTCAGCAAATGCCCCCTTTGTCTGGGGAATGGCAGGTCCTGAGCCCCCTCCTCTGTTTTCACAGGTGCATCAAGGGAGCCTCGACCCAACGCATCTCATCCCAGGCAGAGGATCCGTAATGGCACCACGATACCTTCTCTCTCCAAAGAACTCAGCCTCAAAGTTGGAGGCTTTTCAAACTTACGTAGTTACTTACTTAGGCGATCCTTCGTAGTCTGAGGATGATGGTCCTCCAAGTGCAGTGTCCTGGCGGTGGGTCCGTAGGTGACTGTGGAGCCTTATTCTTGACCCTTTGAGGCGCATGCTTCATGACAACATTTGAGCCACTCCTGAGACCAATTGCAAGCTCCTTTTTCAAAGAGAGAGAGGTGTTTATGTACTTACTTACTTAAACAATCCCTCGTTGGCCGAGTAGGATAGTCTTCCAAAATCAGTGTCCTGGCGGTGGGTCTGTAGGTGACTGTGGAGCCCGATTCTTGACCCACACCTTCTCCTGCAGTGAGGGCATTGGTTTCCAGGTGGAAGGCGATCCCGGTTGAGGTTGGCTTGACGCGCCTTCCTCTTGGCACATTTCTCTCTTTCACCTTCCATTCATGCCTCTTCAAATTCTGCAGCACTGCTGGTCACAGCTGACCTCCAGCTGGAGCGCTCAAGGGCCAGGGCTTCCCAGTTCTCAGTGTCTATGCCAGGTGGTTGGGCATCCGGACAACGTGACCGGTCCAGCGGAGTTGATGGTGGAGGACCATCGCTTCAATGCTGGTGGTCTTTGCTTCTTCCAGCATGCTGACATTTGTCTGCTTGTCTTCTCAAGAGATTTGCAGGATTTTTCCGGAGGCAGCACTGATGGAATCGTTCCAGGGGTTGCATGTGATGTCTGTGGACAGTCCACGTCTCGCAGGCGTAGAGCAGGGTTGGGAGGACAATGGCTTTATAAACAAGCCCCTTGGTCTCCCTATGGAGGTCCCAGTCCTCAAACACTCTCTGCTTCATTTGGAAAAATGCTGCACTCGCATAGCTCAGGTGTTGTATTTCGGTGTCAGTGCTGACATCTGTAGACAGTCCACATCTCACAGGTATATAGCAGGGTTGGGAGGGGAATGGCTTTATAAACAAGCACTTTGGTATCCCTAATGATGCCCTCAAACACTCTCTGCTTCATTTGGAAGAATGCTGCACTCACATAGCTCAGGTGGTGTTGTATTTCTGTCTTAATATTGATGTCTGTAGACTGTCCACGTCCCGAAGGCGTAGAGCAGGATTGGGAGGACAATAGCTTTATAAACAAGCCCCTTGGTCTCCCTACGGATGTCCCGGTCCTCAAACACTCTCTGCTTCATTCGGAAAAATGCTGCGCTTGCAGAGCTCAGGTGGTGTTGTATTTCGGTGTCAATGTTGACTTTGGTGGAGAGGTGGCTGCCAAGGGAGCAGAAATGGTCAACATTTTCTAATGTTACACCATTAAGCTGTATCTCTGGCATTGGGGAGGGATTGGATGGTGACACACCTGGCTTGGCAAGAGTCCATGCGAAAGGGATTCAGGAGTCTTATCAACGCAAAAGTGTGATGCAGTTAATCAAGCTAGCAACTGCAACATTCACAGACAAGAATTCTTTCTCCCACCCTGGACATTATTCCACAGGTATTGCTGAAATTGCCCACTTGCTTCTTGTGGATTTCAATGGCTTCTCTGAGAATGCCTGCCATAGATGTAGGCAAAATGTCAGGAGAGAATGCTTCTGGCACATGGCCACACATTCTGGAAAACTCACAGCAACCCAGCAACTCTGGCTGTGGAAAACCTTCGGCAATACATAGAACCTATCTTGTCCATCATTTGAGAAAACTGCCTGTTTATAGTTAATTTTAATTAACTTATTAAAATGTAACTTCTCTCCAAGTAATTGAAAAGCCACTTTGGGCTTTCTGTGTCCGTCTCGGCAACCCTCCACCTTGAATTTGCTTTGGAAGAAAGGAAGGAGATAAATCTAATACGTAAATAAATAAATTGACCTAGTCATTCAAGGATGCTAACCTTTCGACGCATACAAAAAGCACGCCGACATCTCGTAAGCAAGAAACTCAACCATATTTTTTTTATTTAAAGTGCTTAAAACAGAACAAGCTTCTTCTTCTTTTTAATGAACCACCTTCCAATCAGACTCGTAATACAAGTGAGCACCTCTTCCCCAGAAATGAAACCCCGTAAGAAGGGCAACAGGGAGGTGAGGGAGGGGGGAGAAGGAGGAAGACTTCGGCGGAAGTAAACAAACAACCCAAGGTAGTAAACAACCAATGCAACTGGGCTCTGAACAAGAAGGGCAATCGGTAAGGAAACACTCATGCAGGCCTAGGCCAACTTGGGCCCTCCAGGTGTTTTGGACTCCAACTCCCACAATTCCTAACAGCCTACCGGCTGTTAGGAATTGTGGGAGTTGGAGTCCAAAACACCTGGAGGGAGGGCCCAAGTTGGCCCAGGCCTGTTATAAATTCTAGAAAAAGCCAACTGAGAATCCAAAGCCAACACAACAGCCAAATTCCTCGCTCAGAGTGGATTTTGCCCCCATAAGGGGCTGAAGAACAACCCACCCACCACCCACCCATCCCCTAAACATGCCAAAAAACCCTCTTCTTCTTCCCTTTTCCGTCTATGGATTGCAAAAAGTGACCCTTTGCAGTTGGTGTTGGACAACTGACCACACTATAAGTCAATGGGAAATGCAACTCAGCACCTCCTATGGGATGCAGAAAGTGACCCTTTGCAGTTGGTGTTGGACAACTGACCATACCATGAGTCAATGGGAATTGCAACTCAGCACCTCCTATGGGTTGCAGAAAGTGACCCTTACAGTTGGTGTTGGACGACTGACCACACTAACAATGAGTCAATGGGAATTGTAACTCAGCACTTCCTATGAGTTTCAGAAAGTGTCCCTTTGTAGTTGGTGTTGGACAACTGACCATTCTATGAATTGATGGGCAATGCAACTCCATACTTCCTATGGGTTGCAGAAAGTGACCCTTTGCAGTTGGTGTTGGACAGCTGACCATACTAGCTATGAGTCGATTGAAATTGCAATTGATTCATAGTATGGACAACTGACCATACTATGAGTCAATGGGAATTGCAACTCAGCACCTCCTATGGGTTGCAGAAAGTGACCCTTTGCAGTTGGTGTTGGACAACGGACCATACTAACTATGAGTTGATGGGAATTGCAACTCAGCACCTCCTATGTGTTGCAGAAAGTGACCCTTTGCAGTTGGTGTTGGACAACTGACCATACTATGAGTCAATGGGATATGCATCTCAGCACCTTCTATGGGTTGAAGAAAGTGACCCTTTGCACTTGGTGTTGGACAACTGACCATACTAACTATGAGTTGATGGGAATTACAACTCAGCACCTCCTATGGGTTGCAGAAAGTGACCCTTTGCAGTTGGTGTTGGACAACTGACCATACTAACTATGAGTTGATGGGAATTGCAATTGATTCACAGTATGGACAACTGACCATACTATGAGTCAATGGGAATTGCAACTCAGTACTTCCTATGTGTTGCAGAAAGTGACCCTTTGCTGTTGGTGTTGGACAATTGACCATACTAACTATGAGTCGATGGGAATTGCAACTCAGCACTTCCTACGGGTTGCAGAAAGTGACCCTTTGCGGTTGGTGTTGGACAACTGACCATTCTATGGATTGATGGGAAATGCAACTCCATACTTCCTATGGGTTGCAGAAAGTGACCCTTTGCAGTGGGTATTGGACGACTGACCATACTATGAGTCAATGGGAATTTCAACTCAACACTTCCTATGGGTTGGAGAAAGTGACCCTTTACATTTGGTATTGGTCAACTGACCATACTAACTATGAGTTGATGGAAGTGGCAATGCAGCACCTCCTACAGGTTGCAGAAAGTGACCCTTTGCAGTTGGCGTTGGACAACTGACCATACTATGAATCGATGGGAATTGCAACTCAGCACTTCCTATGGGTTGCAGAAAGTGTCCCTTTGCAGTTAGTGTTGGACAACTGACCATTCTATGAATTGATGGGAATTGCAACTCAGCACTTCCTATGGGTTGCAGAAAGTGACTCTTTGCAGACAACTGACCATACTAACTAGATGTTGGACAACTGACCATACAACTGACTTCACTGCCCTCCTTGGACTCTACATCCTCCCTCCAGGAAGCAGGAAGAAATGTCCTTACAATGGCTTCCAGTCCAACTAGAGGGAAAAATAGAGTGGACAATGGGCTTTGGAGTCCCGAGGAGGATTCAGGAGAGGGAAGTGAAAGGGCCAGAAAGGTAAGGAAAGGTCCTTGACCAGCTGGAATACAAACATAATACTGACCATTGGGATAAGGCAGGCACGCGCACACTTTGGCCTTCCCTCCAGGTGTTTTGGACTACAACCCCCACAATTCCTAACAGCCTACCGGCTGTTAGGAATTGTGGGAGTTGTAGTCCAAAACACCTGGAGGGAAGGCCAAAGTGTGCCCATGCCTGGACTAAGGGGAAGGGGATGGAGGAAGTGACCACAAGGGAAGAGGCTTGGCTTGACCTTGAAGGTGGGCTACCGGACTCTGGCCGCGTGCAGTGCGACGTTGGCCCAACGCAGCCAATGCTCCGCCCGTCCAGCAGAGTGTCCAAGCGAGGAGTGGTGGGGAGAGAAGGGTCAAAGGGGAGGCGGGGGTCTGGTCAGAGGGTGGGGGCGTGGTGGCTACTTGGCGGGGTCTCTGAGGGAGATCTGGAGCAAAGTGGGGGACTGCTCCATGATGCGCACCAGCAGCCGGTCAATGTAGTTCTCCAGCTCCCGGACGTGCGCCTTCTCCTTGCGCAGCTCGGCCTCCCGCTTGCGCAGCAGATGCACCAGCTCCTCGTGCGTCAGGTGGTAGTACTGGGCGGAGGGGTCCGAGGAAGGGTCCTGGGAGGCAGAACAGAGAGGAAGAAAGGTAGGCGCATGGCATCGTAGAGTTGGAAGAGACCTCCAAAGGCCATCTAGTCTGACCCCCTTCTGCATTCATGCAGGGAAAGCACAATCAAAGCACCCCCGACAGATGGTCATCCAAGATATTCCATTAAACTCCTAGACACTCTATAGTTCTCTATAAAGTTGGAAGGGACACCCAAAGGCTATCTAGTCTGACCCCCTTCTGCATCCATGCAGGAAAAGCACAATCAAAGCACCCTCGACAGATGGCCAGCCAAGAGATTCCATTAAACTCTTAGGCAGTCTATATTTCTCTATAGAGTTGGGAGGTGCACCCAAAGGCTATCTAGTCTCACCCCCTTCTGCATTCATGCAGGAGAAGCATAATCAAAGCACCCCCAACAGATGGCCATCCAACTCTTGATGGCTAGATGGCCTTTGGGTGCACCTCCCAACTCATAGGCAGTCTATATTTCTCTATAGAGTTGGAAGGGACACCCAAAGGCTATCTAGTCTGACCCCGTTCTGCATTCATGCAGGAAAAGCACAATCAAAACAATCCTGACAGATGGCCATCTGAACACTGATTAAAGGCCTCCAAAGAAGGAAGAAGACTCCATTTAACTCCTATGCAGTCTATATTTCTCTATAGAGTTGGGAGGGGCACCCAAAGGCCATCTAGCCTGACCCCCTTCTGCATTCATGAAGGAAAAGCACAATCAAAGCACCCCCGACAGATGGCCACCTGGCCTCTGATTAAAAGCCTCCAAAGAAGGAAGGAGACTTAGGCAGTCTATATTTCTCTATAGAGTTGGAAGAGACCTCCAAAGGCCATCTAGCCTGACCCCGTTCTGCATTCATGCGGGAAAAGCACAATCAAAACACTCCCGACAGATGGCCATCTGGCCTCTCATCAAAAGCCTCCAAAGAAGGAAGGAGACTCCATTACACTCCCAGGCAGTCTATATTTCTATATAGAGTTAGGAGGTACACCCAAAGGCTATCTAGTCTCACCCCCTTCTGCATTCATGAAGGAAAAGCACAATCAAAGCACTCCCAACAGATGGCCATCTGGTCTCTCATTAAAAGCCTCCAAAGAAGGAAGGAGACACCATTAAACTCCTAGGCAGTCTATATTTCTCTATAGAGTTGGGAGGGGCACCCAAAGGCCACCTAGTCTGACCCCCTTCTGCATTCATGCAGGAAAGGCACAATCAAAGCACCCCCGACAGATGGCCATCCATGAGATTCAATTAAACTCTTAGGCATTCTATATTTCTTTATAGAGTTGGGAGGTGCACCCAAAGGCCATCTAGTCTGACCCCCTTCTGCATTCATGTAGGAATGCACAATCAAAGCACCCCCGACAGATGGACATCTGGCCTCCCATTAAAAGCCTCCAAAGATGGAAGGAGACCCCATGAAGTCTATATTTCTCTATAGAGTTGTGAGGTGCACCTAAAGGCCATCTAGATTCCATTAAACTCCTGGGCAAGTCTGTATTTTTCTATAGAGTTGGAAGGGGCACCCAAAGGTCTTCCAGTCCAACCCCCTTCGTTCTGCAAGGACTCTACAATTCTAATGATCCCAGCATGTTCTGAACTACTTACTCTCCAAAGTGTCCACACTGCCCTATAATCGAGTTCAATGTGGGTTTTATACAGCTGTGTGGAAGGGACCTTGGCTGTCTATTCCTGCCCTGGGAAGGGGTGGACTAGATGGCCCCTGGGAGTCCCTTCTGGAATCACACCCTTCACCCCACTCTTCCCACCCTTCTTCTCCTTCCTTACCTTTTCAGCTTCTGTTTTTCCCAGCTGCAGGACCGGAAGCACGGCCTCCTTCGAGCTACTGGGATGGAGCTTCTCCCGGTCAGCGCTGCAGCTCCGGACAGGGTTCGCCTTGACCGCTGGCTGCGGCTTCTCCTCCTTGCTGACCACTGGCCCAGAGGAACTGCTGATGGGCTTCACCGGGTGAGGGCTGCAAAGAAGGAAAAGGCAGCACTGAATGAGACAACTGGAAGGGTCTCCCAAAGGACATCTAGTCCAACCCCTTCTCTCTGCCAGGCAGGAAGGCACAACCAAAGCCTTCCTGACAGATGGTCGTCCAGTATCAGGTGCGCCTGCCTTCTCATTGGAAGGTCAATTTAATTATTCATGAGATTTATCTCCCTCTTTTTCCCCAAAAGAGAATTCCAGGTGATAGATTGGAGGTGAGATGTGTTAGAATATGGTGGTTTAAACTAGTATAAGCCTAGTTTTTCAGTCCTTTTTTTAGGCTGAAAAAGTCTCCCTCGGCTTATACTCGAGTCAATGTTATTTATTATTTTACTTTGTCGTTGTTGTTATTATTACATTTATTATTTTTATTGTTGTTATTATTACATTTATTATTTTATTGTTACATTTACTATTTTACTGTATTGTTATTACATTTATTATTTTGCTCTATTATTATTGCATGGACTTCAGGTGGCAGAGTATTCCAGAGTGATGGTGCCACTGCTGTGAAGGCTCTGCGTCTGGTTGCTGTTAGACGCAAGGTCTTGACACTGGGAATTTCCAATAGATCTTGGTCCTCAGAACGGAGGGATCTCTGGGGTTGGTAGGGGGTGAGGCGGTCCCTCAGGTACATCGGCCCCAGACCATGCAAGGCCTTAAAGGTGAGTACCATCACTTTGAAAGTGATCCGGTGCTCAATTGGTAACCAATGCAGCTGTAGTAAGATTGGGGTTATGTGGCATCTCATCGGAATTCCCGCAAGAAGCCGAGCAGCTGCATTTTGTACCAACTTGAGCTTCCGGATCACCGACAGAGGAAGGCCAATGTAGAGGGCGTTACAGTAGTCCAGTCTGGATCACCGTAGCGAGGTCGTCCCTGGACAGGGAGGGGGCCAGCCGTCTAGCCTGCCGCAGGTGAAAGAAGGCGGTTCTGCTCACGGCGGAGAGAGACCTGGGCCTCCATCGTCAGCAGAGGGTCCAAAAGGACTCCCAGACTCTTGACCAACGAGGACGGGCATAGCGCCTCGCCATCCAGGGTAGGCAGCTGGACGTCCCCACTGCCCGGTCGACCCAGCCATAGGATCTCCGTCTTTGCTGGATTCACCCTCAACCTGCTGGCACGCAGCCACCCAGTCACGGCCTCGAGGCACTGATGGAAACAATCGGGTACAGAGTCCGGTCGGCCTTCCATCTTCAGCACCAGCTGAGTGTCATTGGCATACTGGTCACACTCCAGCCCAAAACTTCGAACCAGCTGAGCAAGTAGTCGCAAATAGATGTTAAACAACAGAGGGGAGAGAATGGCCCCTTAAGGAGGAACCCCACGAGAGAGAGAGAGAGGGGGGACCTCTCAGAGACCAGGCTGTCCACGGTTGTGAAGGAAGGAGGGGAGCCAGTTCAAAGCTCTCCCCCTGACTCACTCCAACAGCAGCAAGGCGGTGGGTCAAAAGATTGTGGTCGACTGTGTCCAATGCTGCTGTGAGATCCAATAACACAAGCAGCGCCAACCCGCCCTGGTCAAGCTGGCATCAAAGGTGATCCGTGATGGAGACCAGCACAGTCTCTGTCCCGTGCCCCGCACGGAAGCCGGGCTGGAAGGGATCTAGTCCGGCTGTGTCGTCTAGGAATTGCTGCAACTGCTCCGCTGCTGCCCTCTCCATCCCCTTGCCCAGGAACGAGAGGCAGATGGAGATGGAGACAGAGAAAGGGAAGGAGAAAGAAGCAGAAAAGGAAGGAGAAGGAGAAGGTGGAGACGGAGATGGAGAAGGGAGAAGAAAGATGGGGAAAGAGATGGTGATGGAGATGGAGAAGGGGAAGGAGAAGGAGGCGGGTAACTGGAGGGAACCGAAGAATCTAAGTCTGGTTTCTTCAGCAGGGGAGAGACCACCGCCTCTTTTAAACCCTCTGGAAAGACTCCTTGCTCAAGGGAGCTGTTTATGATCTTCAACAGAGGGTCACGTAATCCCTCCAAGCAGGATTTCACCAACCAAGAGGGACACGGATCGAGGGAGCACGTGGTCGGTCTAGCTGCAGCTTACATTCCATTATTTTTATTATTATTATTATTATTATTATTATTATTATTATTATTATTCTATTATTATTGGAGGACATGTAAGCATATTTTACATTGAAAAAGGTTAGAATAATGTATTGTCGAAGGCTTTCATGGCTGGAATCACTCGGTTCTTGTGGGTTTTTTCGGGCTATAGGGCCATGTTCTAGAGGCATTTTCTCCTGACGTTTAGCCTGCATCTATGGCAAGCATCCTCAGAGGTAGTGAGGTCTGTTGGAAATAGGAAAAGGGGTTTATATATCTGTTGGACAGTTGAAAGGTGGTCAGTTGAAACAGTCCCACCTAGCTCCAGCAGACAAGAGTCCTTTGTCCCACCCTGGTCATTCCACAGATATATAAACCCTTTTTCCTAGTTCCAACAGACCTCACTACCTCTGAGGATGCTTGCCATAGATGCAGGCGAAACGTCAGGAGACAATGCCTCTAGACCATGGCCATATAGCCTGAAAAAACCTACAACAACCCAATGTAATGCTAGTTTGTGGGATTAACAGAACTTCAAAACCACATGGCTATCATATCTCCTCTCAGCTTTCTCTTTTTCAGGCTAAACATGCCCAGCTCCTTAAGCCACTCCTCATGGGGCTTGTTCTCCAGTTTATCATTTTAGTTGCCCTCCTCTGGACACATTCCAGCTTGTCAACATCTCCCTTCAATTGTGGTGCCCAGAATTGGACACAGTATTCCATTTAAGTTGCATATTATTATTATTATTATTATTATTATTATTATTATTGCTACTGAAAGAGAGTTGTTGGAATTAATTCTACAGTGTAGACCAGGTATGGGCCAACTTGGGCCGTCCAGGTGTTTTGGACTTCAATTCCCACATTTCCCAGCCATCTTACCAGCTATTAAGGGATTGTGAGAGCTGAAGTCCAAAACACCTGGAGGCCCAAAGGTTGGCCCACGCCTGGTCTAAGCATTAAATCAAACTGATTGTCTAGAAAACAGCAGGCGTTGGGATTGTCACAACAGCAAGTTTTGGAGTTCTGTGCAGCAAGGGCACCATCTGCTGGCAATTAAACACTGTGAACGAAAAGTGGGTCTGTCGTGGGATAGAAAAACTTTGATAGGCGGACAGACAGATGGAGAATATCAGTCTAACAAATGTCCAGCAAGAAGAAGCAGCAGCAAGGGTCACACCCTTTCCATGTGGTCAAGAGGGACCCCAAAGGCCATCTAGACCTTTCTTACTTAGGCGATCCCTCGTAGTCCGAGGATGATGGTCCTCCAAGTTTGGTGTCCTGAGGGTGGATCTGTGGAGCCCTCTTCTTGACCTGCATCTTCTCCCGAAGTGAGGGCATCGGTTTCCAGACGGAAGGTGGTCCCGGTCGGGGTTGGCTTGACACGCCTTCCTATTGGCACGTTTCTCCCTTTCACCCTCCACTCGTGCCTTCTCAAATTCTGCAGCACTGCTGGTCACAGCTGACCTCCAGCTGGAGCGCTCAAGGGCCAGGGCTTCCCAGTTCTCAGTGTCTATGCCAGAGATTTTAAGGTTGGCTTTGAGCCCATCTTTAAATCTCTTTTCCTGTCCACCAACATTCCATTTTCCGTTCTTGAGTTCGGAGTAGAGCAACTGCTTTGGGAGACGGTGGTTGGGCATCCGGACAACGTGACCGGTCCAGCGGAGTTGATGGCGGAGGAGCATCGCTTCATTGCTGGTGGTCTTTGCTTCTTCCAGCACGCTGATGTTTGTCCGCTTGTCTTCCCAAGAGATTTGCAGGATTTTCCGGAGGCAGCGCTGATGGAATCGTTCCAGGAGTTGCATGTGACGTCTGTAGACAGTCCACGTTTCGCAGGCATAGAGCAGGTTGGGAGGACAATAGCTTTATAGACAAGCACCTTGGTATCCCTACGGATGTCCCGGTCCTCAAACACTCTCTGCTTCATTGGGAAAAATGCTGCACTCGCAGAGCTCAGGCAGTGTTGTATTTCGGTGTCAATGTTGACTTTGGTGGAGAGGTGGCTGCCAAGGGAGCAGAAATGTTCAACATTTTCTAATGTTACACCATTAAGCTGTATCTCTGGCATTGGAGAGGGATTGGCTGGTGTCTGCTGGAAGAGCACTTTGGTTTTCTCGATGTTCAATGACAGGCCGAGCTTCTTGTATGCTTCTGCGAAGGTGTTTAGAGTGGCTTGTAGATCTTCTTCTGAATGCGCACAGACGTTGTCATCAGCATACTGGAGTTCTATAACAGATGTTGTTGTAACCTTGGTTTTGGCTTTCAGTCTGCTGAGGTTAAACAGCTTGCTATCTGTCCGATAGATGATTTCCAATCCGATGGGAAGCTTCCCATCAACAAAATGAAGTATCATAGCGATGAAGATGGAGAATAGAGTTGGGGCAATAACACATCATTCCTGTTTGACACCCGATTCCACCTTAAATGGGTCACTTTGGGAGCCATTGCTGTCCAAGACTGTTGCCATCATATCATCATGGAGGAGCCGCAGGATGTTCACAAATTTGTTTGGGCACCCGATTTTTCGGAGGATGGTCCAGAGAGCGCTGCGGTTCACTGTGTCAAATGCCTTTGCAAGGTCGATGAATGCCATGGACAGAGGTTGGATTTGTTCCCTGCATTTCTCTTGGAGCTGTCGTGCAGTGAAGATCATGTCCACGGTTCCTCTGGAGGGGCGGAAGCCGTTCTGGGAGGGTGTCTTCTGACGACACAACCGTCGAAGCACAGAATCCTGGAGTTGGAAGAGAACCCAAGGGCCATCTAGTCCAGAAGATACAATATGAACCCTCCCGACAGATGGCCATACAGCCTTTGCTTAAAGAGAAGGAGACTCCACTAGACTGTAAGCAGAAGGATTCTACGGTCAAATGCTTCAAACCACCCACAAGTTGGGTTGCTGTGTGGTTTTCGGGCTGTGTGGCTATGTTCCAGCAGCATTCAAAGTGCTGGCTTTGGCCTATAAAGCCCTGAACAGTTCTGGCTGCTGTGGCTGAGATGTTCTCTGATGATGAGGATGATGGGATTCAGATTCCTGGCTCTTTTTCTGTGCCTCAGATCTCTGGGCCTGCTTCTAGGCACAGACAGTGCAGAGTCAGACAGTGCAGAGTCAACACAGCGGTTCTCAGAAGAAAAGAATTTTAACGAAGGAGATAGCGAACAGGTGGGGAGGCATTTGCCTCCTTCCCACGCTGATACTGAAAGTACAGAAAGCCTTGATAGTGACCTGACCCGCAAGCTCGTCTTGATTTGCAGGTCAGACGGAGTTCTCGCCTGGCCGACAGACGAGAAGCCAGTTCGGGGAAAGGTCATCACAATGCTTTTATGTTGGTGAGAGCATAATGTTTTCATGTTAGAAAGGTATTTAGGCTTCTTGCAAACGAAGAGAAAGCGTCAGTTCAACGTAGCTTATTAGCCTGAAAGCTTCATGGAATAACCTTAGCCTGGAAAGCAGTACGCTTGGGATTTCTTGCATTGTGATTCCTGGGGCAATTGTTTCATTGCTTGTACCTTGGACTCTGGTTTGAACTTTGCCTATAGGATTGTGCCTCTTGTTTTTACCTGAAGATCTTTGGAACTATATTCTGCATTTAACCTAAATCTTTGGAACTTTGCAATGCTTATTCTTTATTTTGACTTGGATGTTTTCCTCAATAAACTATAAAACTACAGCTCTTGTGTGGTGGTGTTTGGAAGCAAGGTGAAGCTTACTTTGAGTTGCAACACTGGCCCAGTTTACTTGTCCGAACATATCTCCCGCTACGATCCACCTAGGGCCCTAAGATCATCTGAGGAGACTCTGCTCATTGTCTCCCCATTGTCACAATCGCGTCTGGTGGGGACAAGGGATGGGGCCTTTTCTGTGGTGGCCCTCCCGAGCGAAATTAGATGTGCTGCATCCCTCTTGACCTTCCGGAAACAAGTAAAATCCTGGCCATGGGATCAGGCCTTTGGAGAATAGGCTGAGCTACGCTTTTATATTTTTATATGGTTTTATACTGTTTATACTGTTTTATATTGTTGATATTATTAAATTGCTGTTAATTGTATATTTATGTTTTGATGTGGGTGCCATGGGGGGCCACTTTGTTAGCCGTCTTGAGTCCCTCTGTGGAGGTTGAGAAAGGACAGGATATAAAAGCCCTAAATAAATAAATAAACTCCAACCATTCCTAACAGCTGGCTGTTAGGAATTGTGGGAATTGAAGTCCAAAGCACCTGGAGGGAGGGCCAAAGATTGCCCATGCCTGCAATGTAACAATGCTCCAACTGGCGGTTCTGGGGAGAGAAGAGCAAGTTTATTCACAGCCATATAATGGATGGAAAATGAAACCAAAGTGAAGGCAAAAAGCAGAAGCAATGGAGGGAAGGCCATGCAATGCCTGGAGATAAGCATGCAGAGCTCGAGATCCAGGACGGTCAGCTCATTCCGACCCAAAAGTTCCCTTGTGCAATGACACACACACATGGAAATACACACACACACCTTTTGTGATGCTCACCTGGCCTTCTGCTGGAGGGGCACCCTTTTGTCGTCTCCTTCTTCTTCTCTCCACGTCTCTCCGGGCAGGACGGAAGGAGCTGACGGCTCAGTACTGGGTTGGGAAATGGCCAGAGGGATCGGAGTGGCAGCCGGGCCTCCAAAGGAAGAAGGGACGCCGGGGTCAAGGCCGCCCTGTAGGAACGGCGTGGAGAAGGCCAGGGGCTCGAGGTTGGGTGACATGGGGGATGGAGTCAGCGCCGGACCCTCCTCAGGGGCCACAGCAGAGAACAGGGGCCCTCTCTGGTGGGAGAGCGGGAGGATGGCAGTGCGGTCCGGGAGCACGTCGGGGGCCTGTTCCACAAAGGGGTTGTTCTGGGGGGAAGGCAGAGGAGGACGGGGAGCAAAGGGGTTGCCGGGGGTCCCAACTTCGGGGCTGCGCTCCCCCCTTTCCGCCTGCCAGAAGTCGGCCCGCTTGAAGTCCAGCACCTGGTCGTCGGACCAGATTGAGGAGAACTCTGACTTGTTGGCGGAGCCGTTTGCAGGGATGGGTATGGCGCCAACATGACCCCACTCGTTCGGCCCGACAGCGGAAGGCTCTTCTCTCGTTTCCTCCTCAATGGGGAAGCCTTGCTCATCAGGCGGTGTTTGCGAACGATGGTCCTGCGAGGGAGGCACGCGCTGCTCCTCCAAGGCGGACCAGAAGAACGCCGAAGCGCTCAGAGTTCGGGATCGCTGTCCGCTTGTCTCTCTAGGGTAGGGCAACTCCGTTGATGGCAATGATCCCACTCTAGCCAGCTCTGGGGCCTCGGTGGCTTTGGTCACCCCAGTGGAAGATCTAGCCCACTCTCCATCACGTTCTTCAAGGCAACCGGCATCCTCCATCTCCTCCGACAACCTCGATTCGTCCGCAGAGAGCGCCAACAAGCAGGTCCTGAACTGTTCGGCTTTGGCACCCCCCAAGACGACCTCCTGGGGGGTCTCGCTAACACCTGAAGGTTCTGGGGCCAGTTGGAGTCTCCCTATGGCTCGGACGTTGGCACCTGCTCCAATTACTGCTTTCGGTGACAAGAGAATGGTTTCCGTCGGGGGTCTCTCTTCATCCGAAGGGGGTCTCAGGGGTTTGGCCTCTTCGCACAGAGCAGCCTCGTTCTCACCTCTCTCTGCCTGTCCCCACATGGCTTCCCCTGCTTCTTCTTGGAGGCTGAGTGGGGTGAACCTTCTGGGGGGCTTCGGAGGTGGGGTCTCCGCCCGCCTGCACTCGCGCTCCTCTCCAACCTCTCTCTCCTCCTCGACATCATCTCCGGCACTGAGGACCAAATGAGCCGTGGCTTGGGTCTCGGGGATCGGAGTCCCCTCTTCTTCCTCCCTTTCCACATCATTTGTCTCCTGCATCCCAACATTAGGAGCTTGGATGCTCCCCAAAGTAGAGAAGGACTCCACTGCAGATTCACTAACTCCCACAGGTAATTCCACACCTGGAAGAATTGTGGCTGAGGAAGGGAAGTCAGGAGCAGCAGGAGTGGCCCAGTGGCTCTCAAAGCTGCTCTCCGGACCCTTTGAAGGGACATGATCTTCTGAGCCATCCCTTGGAAGACTGACCATTGCAGAGTGGCGTCCAGAGGCAGCAGGAGTGACCCACTGACTCTCAAAGCCGCTCTCCAGACCTTGGGAAGGGTCTCCACTTGATATCCCCTCGGGGGTCTCCGTCCACTCTGCTCCCTTGATGCCTACAAGACCCTCCCCAATCTCTTGTTGCGTCTCCTCTTCTACGGTCCACTTTGGAGGAGCTTCCAAGTCGCGGGTCAGAGTCACATCGCCGGACCGGTCAGTGTCCGGCCGCCTCTCTTCAGGTCCGAAGTCCAGCAAGTCGGGGGCTTTCGGAAATTGATCTCCCTTTTCGCGGACCTGGGACCCGTCAGGGTTTGGAGAGTCCGTCCGGAGCGGCGCGAGAGGACTCTCTGCGCCGGCGACGTCCGGCTTCAAGCGGCTGGTGGCGAAGGCGTCGAAGAAGCTGTCGTCCCACTCTGAGGAGGGGGCTGCAGAGGCGGGTCTTTGGGGGTCTGGTCCAAAGGGAGAGGGGCCACAATCTTCGGGGTAACAGGGAGGAGGCTCTGTGGCAGCAGCAAGCAGGCCGGGATGGGAGCTGGAGAGAAAGGGAGCAGGGGAGCAGAGTTTAGTATTTGGGCTGCCAGGAAAAGAAGGGGGTCCTTACAGAAATGGGGGGCTTTGCATTAGCCCCAGAAGGCCATCCCTTGGGGTGCATGCCCACCCTTTGCTCCCACCCCGAATGGGGTGGGAGCAAAGGGTGGGCATGCACCCCAAGGGATGGCCTTCTGGGGCTAGTGCAAAACAACAAAAGCTTCAAATGCAAAGAGGGGAATGGATGCAGCCACTGAAGCCCAAAAAGGGATGCAAGGGTCAAGGGTCTCCGGTCATTTCAGGCTGTGGAAGAAGACAAAATCCCCATAGACAGCCCCTCTCTTTTGCAATGCATATCTGAGTAAACGGAACAGACCCAGCCCTGCACAAACCCACCTGGAAAACATACACATACACACTCGCACGCAAGTTGAAGGGAGCAAGAGCAAAACAATAAAAAGTAAACACAATGCGTTTGTGAGACGTCCAAAGCTTTGCAGAAGCAATGAAAACAAAAAAAAAAAACAACTCTTAAGCGGGGGCAGATCTGGGCTTGTTCAGAACTCAGACTCCATTTCAAAACATTATGCTTCAGACTCCAGTAGGAACCATATTCTTTCAGACTCTCAGACTGTACAGATTCCATTGGGCTTTCAGACTAGACAGAGATGCTATGGGACTCTCAGAACAGAGAAATGCATTAGATCAATGTTTCTCAACCTTCTTAATGCCACAACCTCTTCATACAGTTCCTCATGTTGTGGTGACCCCCCAACCATAACATTATTTTCGTTGCTACTTCCTAAAAAGGTTTGCAGTTTCCCTTAACTCTGTGCTGTAGGAGGGGCTGCAGAGCATGGGATCAGATCTGGGCTTGTTCAGAACTCAGACTCCATTTCAAAAGATTATGCTTTAGACTTCAGTGGGAACTGTATTCTTTCAGACTCTCAGACTGTACAGATTCCATTGGACTTTCAGACTAGACAGAGATGCTATTGGACTCTCAAACATACACACTCGCACGCAAGTTGAAGTGAGCAAGAGCAAAACAATAAAAGTAAACACAATGTGTTTGTGAAAGGTCCAAAGCTTTGCAGAAGCAATGAAAAGAGGAGAAACTCTTAATCGGGGGGGGGGGGGGGCTGGTCATCAAACAGAACAGTGTTTCTCAACCTCCCAAAGGCCGCAACCCCTTAATACAGTTCCCCATGTTTTGGTGACCCCTCCCCCCCACTAACCATAAAATTATTTTCGTTGCTACTTCCTAAAAGGATTTGCAGTTTTCCTTAACTCTATGCTGCAGAGGATGTGATCAGATCTCGGCTTGTTCAGGACTCAGACTCCATTTCAAAACATTATGTTTTAGACTTCAGTAGGAACTGTATTCTTTCAGACTCTCTTGCTACTTCCTAAAAAGGTTTGCAGTTTTCCTTAACTCTACGCTGTAGGAGGGGCTGCAGAGCATGGGATCAGATCTGGGCTGGTTCAGAACTCAGACTCCATTTCAAAACAGTTTTAGACTTCAGTAGGAACTGTATTCTTTCAGACTCTCAGACTGTACAGATTCCATTGGACTTTCAGACTAGACAGAGATGCTATGGGACTCTCAGAACAGAGAAATGCATTAGATCAGTGTTTCTTAACTTTCTTAATGCCACAACCTCTTCATACAGTTCCTCATGTTGTGGTGACCCCCAACCATAACATTATTTTCGTTGCTACTTCCTAAAAAGTTTTGCAGTTTTCCTTAACTTCCTTCCTTTCCTGCTGTAGGAGTGGCTGGGGACCATATGATCAGATCTGGGCTTGTTCAGAACTCAGACTCCATTTCAAAACATTATGCTTTAGACTTCAGTGGGAACCGTATTCTTTCAGACTCTCAGACTGTACAGATTCCATTGGACTTTCAGAGTAGACAGAGATGCTATTGGACTCTCAAACATACACACTCGCACGCAAGTTGAAGTGAGCAAGAGCAAAACAATAAAAGTAAACACAATGTGTTTGTGAAAGGTCCAAAGCTTTGCAGAAGCAATGAAAAGAGGAGAAACTCTTAATCGGGGGGGGGGGGGGGCTGGTCATCAAACAGAACAGTGTTTCTCAACCTCCCAAAGGCCGCAACCCCTTAATACAGTTCCCCATGTTTTGGTGACCCCCCCCCCCACCAACCATAAAATTATTTTCGTTGCTACTTCCTAAAAGGGTTTGCAGTTTTCCTTAACTCTATGCTGCAGAGGATGTGATCAGATCTCGGCTTGTTCAGGACTCAGACTCCATTTCAAAACATTATGTTTTAGACTTCAGTAGGAACTGTATTCTTTCAGACTCTCTTGCTACTTCCTAAAAGGTTTGCAGTTTTCCTTAACTCTATGCTGTAGGAGGGGCTGCAGAACATGGGATCAGATCTGGGCTGGTTCAGGACTCAGACTCCATTTCAAAACATTGTTTTAGACTTCAGTAGGAACTGTATTCTTTCAGACTCTCAGACTGTAGAGATTCCATTGGACTTTCAGACTAGACAGAGATGCTATGGGACTCTTAGAACAGAGAGATGCATTAGATCAGTGTTTCTCAACCTCCCGAATGCCACGACACCTTAATACAGTTTCTCATGTTGTGGTGACCCCCAACCATAACATTATTTTCGTTGCTACTTCTTAAAAAGGTTTGCAGTTTTCCTTAACTCTACGCTGTAGGAGGGGCTGCAGAGCATGGGATCAGATCTGGGCTTGTTCAGAACTCAGACTCCATTTCAAAACATTATGCTTTAGACTCCAGTAGGAACCGTATTCTTTCAGACTCTCAGACTGTAGAGATTCCATTGGACTTTCAGACTAGACAGAGATGCTATGGGACTCTCAGAACAGAGAGATGCATTAGATCAGTGTTTCTCAACCTTCCGAATGCCGCGACCCCTTAATACAGTTCCTCATGTTGTGGTGACCCCCAACCATAACATTATTTTCGTTGCTACTTCCTAAAAAGTTAGCAGTTTTCCTTAACTCTACGCTGTAGGAGGGGCTGCAGAGCATGGGATCAGATCTGGGCTTGTTCAGAACTCAGACTCCATTTCAAAACATTATGCTTTAGACTTCAGTGGGAACCGTATTCTTTCAGACTCTCAGACTGTACAGATTCCATTGGACTTTCAGACTAGACAGAGACGCTATTGGACTCTCAAACATACACACTCACACGCAAGTTGAAGTGAGCAAGAGCAAAACAATAAAAGTAAACACAATGCGTTTGTGAAACGTCCAAAGCTTTGCAGAAGCAATGAAAACAGAGAAAACTCTTGAGGCAAAACTGAGCGCGGGAGGGGGGGGGGGGTCATCACATACAACAGTGTTTCTCAACCTCCCGAATGCTTAGACTACAATTATTATAAATAAAAATAATTATATAATTATAAAAAATAAATTATATATTTATTATAAAAAATAAAAGTAAACAATGCATTTGTGAGATGTCCAAAGCTTTGCAGAAGCAATGAAAACAGAGAAAACTCTTAAGCGGGGTGGAGTGGGGTGGTGGTGGTCATCAAACAAAATAGTGTTTCTCAACCTCCCGAATGCCACGACCCCTTAATACAGTTCCTCATGTTTTGGTGACCCCCCTCACCCAACCATAAAATTATTTTTGTTGCTACTTCCTAAAAAGGTTTGCAGTTTTCCTTAACTCTATGCTGCAGAGGATGTGATCAGATCTGGGCTTGTTCAGGACTCAGACTCCATTTTAAAACATTATGCTTTAGACTCCAGTAGGAACCGTATTCTTTCAGACTCTCAGACTATACAGAATCCATTGGACTTTCAGACTAGACCGAGATGCTATTGGACTCTCAGAACAGAGAGATGCATTCAATCAGTGTTTCTCAAACTCCCGAATGCCGCGACCCCTTAATACAGTTCCTCATGTTGTGGTGACCCCCCAATCATAAAATTATTTTCGTTGCTACTTCCTAAAAAAGGTTTGTAGTTTTCCTTAACTCTATACTGTAGGAGGAGCTGCAGACCATGTGATCAGATCTGGGCTTGTTCAGGACTCAGACTCCATTTCAAAACATTATGTTTTAAGCTTCAGTAGGAACTGTATTCTTTCAGGCTCTCAGACTGTACATATTCCATTAGACTTTCAGACTAGACAGAGATTCTATGGGACTCTCAGAACAGAGAGATGCATTCGATCAGTGTTTCTCAACCTTCCTAATGCCGCGACCCCTTAATACAGTTCCTCATGTTGTGGTGACCCCCAATCATAACATTATTTTCGTTGCTACTTCCTAAAAAGGTTTGCAATTTTCCTTAACTCTATGCTGTAGGAGGGGTTGCAGACCATGTGATCTGATCTGGGCTTGTTCAGAACTCAGACTCCATTTCAAAACATTATGCTTTAGACTTCAGTGGGAACCGTATTCTTTCAGACTCTCAGACTGTACAGATTCCATTGGACTTTCAGACTAGGCAGAAATGCTATTTCTCAACCTTTTTAATGCCACAACCTCTTCATACAGTTCCTCACGTTGTGGTGACCCCCAACCATAAAATTATTTTCGTTGCTACGTCATAACTCTAATTTTGCAATTGTTTTGAATCGTAATGTAAACATCTGATATGCAGGGCGTATTTTCATTCATTGGACCAAATTTGGCACAAATACCCAATACGCATAATGTGAACACTGGTGGGCTTGGGGAGGGGGGGTGATTTTGCAATTTGGGAGTTGTAGTTGCTGGGATTTGTAGTTCATCTACAATCAAAGAGTGTTCTGAACTCCACCAACGATGGAATTGACCCAAACTTGGCACACAGAACTCCCACAACCAATGAAAAATACTAGAAGGGTTTGGTGGGCATTGAGTTTGGGAGGTGTAGTTCACCTACATCCAGAGAGTACTGTGGACTCAAATAATGATGGATCTGGACCAAACTTGGTACGAATACTCAACGTGCCCAAATGTGAACACTGGTGGAGTTTGGAGAAAATAGACCTTGACATTACAAT